GACACCGAGGAACTGTTGGGACTGCAGCTAGTGGTGTGCCCCAGGGAGACAGAGGTGCAGGTTCACGGCAAGGTGATCATAGGAAGGAGCCCAAGCATACCAGACGATTGTCCAATTGTGTTGCCAGAATTCTGGTCAGAGTGTTGTGTTGGGATCCCCACTGACCACGTGGTGGAACCCTCTGCCAGTGTTAAGGCCCTGGGCTGGGACCGGGTGAAGTAGGGTGAGCCAAGGTCCCCCTATCCTCTGTTGCCAACCCCATCTCTGGAGGGCAACCTTCCCACCTTAGGCCAAGAGGCCTGCGTTTGTCTGCCATCTCCCAGATACAGGATGTCAGGCGTTAGCCTGCTTGCTGCTCTGCCCTGCCTCAGGGCCTGAGCCCTGGACTTCTTGCTGCCTGGCCCCTGCCTCGGCGACCAGGACCATGGAGACTGCTAATCCCCCTTTGAGCCAGTCTTTCCAGAAACACAGAGCGAGTGGCCTGGCCTCCCTCCGAGCCTGACGGGGAGAGATGGTCACAATCTCCTGCACCTCTGGTGAGAGCCATCTCCAGCCCAATAGATTTCAATGGGAGTTAGGCGACTAAATTCCTCACAGCATCTGGGCCTAGGACTCCCAAGTATTTAGAATAGTAGGTAGAGAAGAAAATGGGAAAGTAGGAAAGATCCTGTGGCTCCAAAATGGCTTGAAGGATTCCCTCCCCTCCCCATCAAGCAAAAACCTGTGATTTATAATGGAGACAGTGCTGGACCTGGTATTACACTGGCCCAAATGGCACTAGTCACATACATTAATACACACAAGCTTGGCAAACTTCTGCAGTGCTCTGTTTTAAAATCAAACTGTTGACAGATGGGGAAATGAAACAATGTATGTTTTTCTTCCTTCCTTTACAGAGAGTTAGAAATACTAATTCGGGATTTCCCAACAGGGCTTTCTTCATAGTGCTTTTCTCTTCCCTGCCTGTATTTGCACAGTTCTCCTGATTAAGATGAAAATCAATACAGTAGTGTTCTGGGGTGGGTTTTGTTTTTACATCTATCAATTGCATGTGTAGTAAAGTACAAATCTAGCCCTGGAGGCTAAGAATGGAGCATTTTAGCTGTGTTTGTTATGGAGAAACTGAATCCCATACCACATAACAATCCATCTATGGTATTTAAAAGGCTCCCATCATCAAAGTGTATGAACACTGTATACCACCTCCACGAGGTAGGGAATGAAAGCACACAGACACCAAATGACACAGGAAATCTGTGGTAGAATGGGGAATTGAAACCGGTCTCCCAAAGCCAATGCCCTAACCACTGGGCCAGCCTCGCTTTTAGAATAATGAAGAACAAACCCTAAGTGAAGGAGTCTCTAGTCCATTTGAATTTAGTTTGAGGTGTTGGGATGTTACAACATCTTATCAGAGTCCATAATCCCCTAATTTGAAAGGTTTATCCTGGGGGGAAAAAAGTTGTTGAGGTGAAGTTAATGCTGACTGTACATATCAGCAACTCAAGTGCAACAAATCCCTACAAGCACCTTGTCACTAGCCAAAAGAATTAGATAAACTCGGGAAATTCAGGGAAACTCATACACTGGGAAGTGTGGAAAGTCAATATTAAGGTGTGGAAACTAGATTCAACTCTGGGCCTACAGGCTAGCACACAGATGTACTTAGTAACCTAAATGTGATCTCTCTTCATGTTATTTGACTACAGACTGGCAAATATACATATATACCCCAGGAAGAATGTTTGTTTCTGAACTTCTGTGCTTAGGGTGTCCAATTCATTTCAGGTTTTTTAGTATAGATTTCCCTCTCCCTCAGGCCTCTCCTACCAGTTTTGAAGCTGACATTCCTGTGGTTGGGCATTTTAGATGGAGTGGCCCAAATCAGGCTTGTAATGGAAACTTAGTCACAACATTAACTACATAGTGGGTATTGTCATTCTACAATGTTACAGAAACAGAAATCTTAGAGTCTGAGCCTGTGGTGTTTACACTGACAACATTCACATTCACAATAATTTTTAAAAAAAATTTACAGATCAAAGGGGAAGTAACACGTCAGGGTCTGCAAAGTGCTATCGCGATTTTAGGTCTGATGAGCAGGCCCTGTTGGTATCAGTGTAGCAAGTGTCAAGGCCCTAATTTAGCACACATCCCTGTAATAAAGATGTTCTTCCACCACTGGAGAAAAATATAAACTGTTCCCCGAGGTTGTAGAAAGCCAGTCATTATTGAGAATTCTTACTGTAAGTTACAAAATAGCACTTGATCAGAATAATAATATCTACCAGTCAGGGCCGGCTCCAGGGTTTTTGCCGCCCCAAGCGGCAGGAAAAAAAAAAAAAAAAAACCCCCATCCCAATTGGCGGCAGCTCCACCATGCCGCTTTCTTCTTCGGCGGCAATTCAGCAGCAGGTCCTTCCCTCCGAGAGGGACAGGGACCCTCTGCCGAATTGCCGCCGAAAAGCCAGACGTGCCGCCCCTTCCCCTTGGCCGCCCCAAGCACCTGCTTGCTCAGCTGGTGCCTGGAGCCGGCCCTGCTACCAGTCATAGAATGCATATAGGTCACAAGAGAGGTATCACTATTCCCTTTCTGCGTATGGGGAAACTGAAGCAGGGGTGAAGTAACTTGTCCAAGGTCACCCTGCCGCCCAATGGCAAAGCTTGGACTAGAATGTAGGTCTGCTGCATCCCAGTCCAGTGCTCTGTCCACTAGGGCACACTGCATCTCCAAAGACAGCAGAACTTACAGATGCCAGAGTGAACTGGACAACTTTTTAACCCACCCATCAAAGTATTTGTAATTTATCCTTCAAAGCTGGGAGCTGCAGGGAGGGGCTGTTGCTTTAACTGCCGGGAGTGGCAGGAGGAACAGCTGGGAACTACAGGGAAGGGCCGCTGCCTTCTGGGAAGGGTGTGACTTGAGCTTTTCCCAGTTGTTCCTTCCCATTATCAGCAGGCACACATCATCTCTAGTCTCAGTGGTAGGAGCCTGGGTTTGCTACACTGCCAGCATGAAGGCTTTGCTAATCCTAGGGCTTTTCCTCCTGCCCATGGTTGCTCATGGGAAGATCTACGAAAGGTGTGAACTGGCAAGAGCAATGAAAAGGCTTGGGCTGGATGGATACCGGGGCTACAGCCTGGGACACTGTAAGTCTGCTTCCTTGGAGGTTCAGGGGGCGGAGAGGGAAAGGGGATAAGTTGACAGGTTCCAGTTTTCAACTGGAAAGTCCGGCAGTGTCCATTCAGATGTACTGACTGGAGACTAAACTCTGGTTACCGTGACAGGTGGAAAGGAGGTGCAGGGTGATCAATCCATGCCAGTCCCTGCTCAACCAGGGTCGCCTCCTATCTGCAGATAGGCAGGCGGCAGGCTCCGAGTCCGATGGCAGCTCCTGTCCCACACCCAGAGCAGAGGGAGCCCAGCTGGTGAGGGAGGGAGGATGAGACAATCCAGAGACAGGGAACGGGGAGAGCAGTGAGCAATAGGGGGAGAGGGAGAGAGGAATGAGTGGGGGTCAGGGCTTTTGGGGGAAGAGGCAGAGCAGGGCAGGGGTGGGGTCTTAGGACTCCGGTTTTCAGAAATTAGAAAGTTGGCATCCTTATCCCAAAACACTGGTATTTCCTTCAGAGATATAAGCCCCATGTGGTGTTCATATGACAAGCAAAAGTTTTACATGTAGAATGTTTTTTCTTGCTATTCATATTTAATAAGGCTTGTGACTCTGATCAGAATGGAGTGGAATGAGGATAATCAATGGGACACAGTAATACCAGGGTACAAAATATATCGGAAGGATAGAACTGGTCGGGCTGGTGGGGGAGTGACACTATATGTGAAAGAAAGCATAGAATCAAATGAAACAAAAATCTTAAATGAATCAAACTGTACCATAGAATCTCTATGGATAGTAATTCCAGGCTCTAAGAATAAGAATAGCATTAGGGATATATTACTGACCACCTGACCAGGATGGTGATAGTGACTGTGAAATGCTCAGGGAGATTAGAGAGGCTATTAAAATAAAAAACTGAATAATAATGGGGGATTTCAACTATTCCCATATTGACTGAGTACATGTCCATTCAGGACGGGATGCAGAGATAAAGTTTCTTGACTCTAAATGACTTAAATGACTGCTTCTTGGAGCAGCTAGTCCTGGAGCCCAGAAAAGGAGAGGCAATTCTTGATTTAGTCCTAAGTGGAGCAGAGGATCTGGTCCAAGAGGTGAATACAGCTGGACCGCTTGGTAATAGTGACCATAATATAATTAAATTTACCATCCCTGGGGTGGGGAAAACACCACAGCAGCCCAACACTGTAGCATTGAATTTCAGAAAGGGGAACTACACAAAAACGAGGAGGTTAGTTAAACAGAAATTAAAAGGTGAAATCCAAAAGTGAAATTCCTGCAAGCTGCATGGAAACTTTTTAAAGATAGCATCATAGACGCTCGTTTTAATGTATACCCCAAATTAAAAAACATAGTAAGAGAACCAAAGAAGTGCCACCGTGGCTAAACAACAAAGTAAAAGAAGCAGTGAGAGGCAAAATGGCATCCTTTAAAAAGTGGAAGTTAAATCCTAGTGAGGAAAATAGAAAGGAGCATAAACTCTAGCAAATGAAGTGTAAAAATATAATTAAGAAGGCCAAAGAAGAATTTGACGAACAGCTAGCCAAAGACTCAAAAAGTAATAGCAAAACATTTTTTAAGTACATCAGAATCAGGAAACCTGCTAAACAACCAGTGGGGCCAGTGGACGATTGAGATGCTAAAGGAGCACTCAAGAACGATAAGGCCATTGCGGAGAAACTAAATAAATTCTTTGCATCGGTGACAAATCTGAGGAACTGTCCCAGATTGAGGTGTCATTAGAGGAGGAACAAATTGATAAACTAAACAGTAATAAGTCATCAGGACCAGATGGTATTCATCCAAGAGTTCTGAAGGAACTCAAATGTGAAATTGCAGAACTGCTAACTGTAGTCTGTAACCTATCATTTAAATCAGCTTCTGTACCAAATGACTAGAGGATAGCTAATGTGAGGCCAATTTTTAAAAAGGGCTACAGAGGTGATCCCAGCAATTACAAGCCAGTAAGCCTGACTTCAGTACCGGGCAAATTGGTTGAAACTATAGTACAGAACAAAATTGTCAGACACATAGATGAACATAATTTGTTGGGGAAGAGTCAACATGGTTTTTGTAAAGAGAAATCATGCCTCAACAATCTACTAGAATTCTTTGAGGGGGTCAACAAGCATGAGGACAAGGGGGATTCACTGGATATAGTGTACTTAGATTTTCAGAAAGTCTTTGACAAGGTCCCTCACCGAAGCCTCTTAAGCAAAGTAAGCAGTCATGGGATAAGAGGGAAGGTCCTCTCATGGACTGGTAACTGGTTAAAAGATAGGAAACAAAGGGTAGGAAAAAATGGTTAGTTTTGAGAATGGAGAGAGGTAAATAGTGGTGTCCCCCAGGGGTCTGTACTGAGACCAGTCCTATTCAACATATTCATAAATGATCTGAAAAAGGGGGTAAACAGTTGGGAATGGGCGACAGGGGATGGATCACTTGATGATTACCTGTTCTGTTCATTCTCTCTGGGGCACCTGGCATTGGCCACTGTCGGAAGACAGGATACTGGGCTAGATGGACCTTTGGTCTGACCCAGTATGGCCGTTCTTATGTTCTTATTAACAGGAAGCAAAACTGCCTGTGTATACTTTGTATTAAATAATCATTTGCATCATCTGCAAACAGGTGATATAGGGGCATTTAGATCCATATTTCTGTAAAATATCAACCTACGAGGAGTTTTTATCACCAGAGAAAATTCATTAATCTGTGTGTGGTTATTTTTTTTAAACGGAACCTTCACAGGGGTGTGCACAGCAAGATACGAGAGCAACTTTAACACAGGTGCCACAAACTACAACCGAGGTGACAAAAGCACTGACTATGGGATTTTTCAAATCAACAGCCGCTGGTGGTGCAATGATGGCAAGACTCCAAAAGCCAAGAACGCATGTGGAATCCAGTGTGGTGGTAGGTGCAATATAATGTTCCCACAGGTAACACTATGAGCGGGCAATTCTGCCCTTTTACACCAGTGTGAGCCTATGGCATTGCAAAATTATAACTGAAGGCAGGTTTTGTTCCTAGTAGCCCTATATTAAAAAAACAATCCCTTATTCTACAGACAGAAGGGCGAGGTTTCAATGTGTGGGGATGTATGTGTGGTACAAAAGGGGGTTCCCAAAGGATTTTTCTAAAAGGAATAGTGATCCTTTTTTCAGACTTTCTTTTTTAGGTTTCTTTAATAAAAACAATTCCCTTTTGGAGACGCATTTAGTACAGTAACTCCTCATTTAACATATCCCACTTAACCTTGTTTCAATGTTGCCTCCCTGCTCAATTAGGGAACATGCTCCTTTAAAGTTGTGCAATGCTCCCTTATAACGTCCTTTGGCTGCCTGCTTGTAAGATTCTGTGGAAGAGCAGCGACTTTACAAGGGAGCATTGCACAAGTTCTGCTTCTCCGCCTCCTTCCCCTCCCTCCCAGCACTTCCCCCACCGCCAAACAGCTGTTTGGCGGCGCTTAGGACTTTCTGGGAGGGAGGAGGAGGAGCAGGGAAGCGCCACGTCTCCACTTCTCCCCCTCTCTCCCAGAAAATCCTAAGCGCCACTAAACAGCTGTTTGGTGGCACTTAGGCCTTTCTGGGAGGAAGGGGGAGGAGCGGAGATGCAGAACTTGTGCAATGCAGTATAATGCCTTTTGTCTGCCCCAAAAAAATTTCCTTAGAACCTAACCCCCCGCATTTACATTAAATCTTATGGGACAATTGGATTCGTTTAACATTGTTTCACTTAGGGTACGTCTTCACTACCCGCCGGATCGGCGGGTAGTGATCAATCTATTGGGGATCGATTTATCGCGTCTAGTGTAGACGCAATAAATCGATCCCCAATCGCTCTGCCGTTGACTCCGGAACTCCACTGCGGCGAGAGGCGGAAGCGGAGTCGACGGGGGAGCGGCGGCAGTCGATCCCACGCCATGAGGACGCGAGGTAAGTCGAACTAAGATAGGTCGATTTCAGCTACGCTATTCTCGTAGCTGAAGTTGCGTATCTTAGGTCGATTCCCCCCCCCCCCGCCCCAGTATAGACCAGGCCATAAAGTTCCATTTTTCAGGAACATAACTACAACGTTAAGTGAGGATTTACTGTACTTACCTGTTATGTTGATTTCAGGACACTTTGTTCTTAGAGGATGAAATTCACTGCTATGTGGAATGCCAGCACAAATGCTGGTTCCTGATCTTGCTTGGTTTTAAAAATACACATTTTAATGTTTGTAATTTAAAGAGACACAATCAGCTTGAAATCTAGTCCATTTTAAGAAAGAATTAAAAGTAATTTCAAGTACTGCAATTTCCCTTCACTCACACCCTGCCATTTTTTGAACTTTTACAATCACTACTTTTTATTTTATTGTATTTTTTTGGACTTCTCTCCTCTGTTGAGACACCCACACAATCAACATAGGGAACTATCTGTCTGACTATACAGAAAACCAGCAAAATAGCTATTCACAAAGGGTAAAACCAACCCTTTTGGAGAGAGTTAGCACAGGACATATGGTCTCACCTAAGACATATTTCACCCAAAGAGCTGTCAAGGGAATCCAGTAAAGAAGATGGAAAAAATACCAAACAATATTTTTCTTCATTTCTATGAATTTCTAGTGGCTCTTAGGTGCTACTTGAATAATATTTGGTTTAAAATGTTCAGACAAGGGTGTGATATTGAAGCAGATGGTTTCATATCCCTTTATAGTACTAGAACAAAATTTGCTTTGAAATAAGATCATTACAGTAACTCCCCACTTAACATCCTCTCGCTTAACGTTGTTTCGATCTTCCATCCCTGCTCAATTACAGAACATGCTCCATTTAAAATTGCGCAATGCTTCGCTATAATGTCGTTTGGCTGCCTGCTTTGTCCACAGCTGGCAGCCCCCCTATCAGCTCCCCTATGCCCCCCCACAGCGCCTCCCGCCTGCCGGCAGACCCCGCAGATCAGCGCCTTCCCCCTCCACCCCCTGCTTCCTGCCTGAGGCAATCATCTGGCTTGCGGCATTCGGAGGGGGGGAGTAAGGACTCGGCGCGCAGGCTCCTCCTCCCTCCCCTGCCTCCCGAATGCCGCAAACCAGCTGATTGCTGCAGGCAGGAGGCAGGGGAGGGATGGGGGAGCTTGCGTGCCCAGTCCTTGCTCCTCCCCCCTCCCTCCTGCCTCCTGAACACCGCAAGCCAGCTGATTGCCATGGGCAGGAGGCAGGGGAGGGAGGGGGGAGGAGTGAGGATGTAGCGTGCGGAGTAAAGGGTGGGGAAGAAGAGGTGGGTTAAGGGTGGGGGCTTGGGAGAAAGGTTGAGCCTCCCCGCCCTGGTGCTTGCAGAGTAGGGGAAGCTGCCGCTGCTGCTGCGCAACGTGCTTCTCCTAGCCTACAGCACCTTCAGCCTCCTTGCCTGCCTCATTGTCTCCGGTGCCAGTGGGCTGTGCCTGTGTGGGGTAAGGCGGGGGCACCTCCCAACTATAGTACTGTACTGTATGGCAAAAAAAATTTCCCTGGAACCTAACCCCCCCCCCCCCCCCCGATTTACATTCATTCTTATGGGGAAATTGGATTCGCTTAACATCATTTCACTTAAAGTCACATTTTTCAGGAACATAACTACAACGTTAAGCGTGGAGTTACTGTATATATAAAACACAGCAAAGAAAGCCAAATGAAAATAGAACTAGATAGAAACTACAAAGAGAGGAACATAGCAATTGCCATATGGATCAGACCAGTGGTCCTGTAGTCCAATACAATGTCTCCAGTTGCACTGGCCAGTACCACATGCTTCAGAGGAAGGTACAAGACACCTTGCAGTAGCTGGCTATGGTATAACTAGCCCACAGACTGACAGCATTCTAAAGCTAGGACCAAGTTGTGAAATAACATGATGCTTGACACCATCACATTGTTCACTCTGCTTGAGTGTTATATCCCTTTCCCCCACCCTGGGTCTGTCTTTCCATTCAGATTGTAAACTCTTCAGAGCAAGGACATCTGGTATTCTATGCTTGTACAGTGCCTAACACCACTGGGCCCCATTCTCGGTTGGACTTTAGATGCTACCATAATCAACTTGATTAGTAAATAATAATAATAATCAATAAAATCTAATTTCAGTATCAATTTAGGATGACTGATTCAAAAAAACGAAGGGGAAAATGTTGATTTTTCTTCTCTCTCCTGTTACCACTATATTTCTTTTTTAGGGTTACTGACAACAGACATTACAGCGAGTGTAAATTGTGCAAAGAGAGTTGTTCGCGATCCCAATGGCATGGGTGCATGGTACGTTTAAAACTCTTACAACAACTAACAGTGACATACTTGCGTGTATACTTAGGGGGAGGCTAGTTAAAAGAGAGAGACTACAATCTTCTTTTGGATAAACTAGCTTGTATAGAAGCAATAAGAAGGTTGATAATATATTTGTGCTTATTTATTAACATATTTGAACTCAGAACTTGTAAACTAAGAGTTCACAGCACAATAAATTTATGGACATTCAGGATTCTCAGTTGTAGCTCTGATCTGGACCTTTAGAGCAGCAGTGGAGATAACACTCAGATCTTCCTCCTCCAAAAACTCCTACCACTTGGAGTGAAAAAAACTCTATTAGATGATAAAGGTATAGGGCTTATGACATAGTTTACCGGTTTTTATTCCATTCAGTATAGGGCAGTGTCACTGTGAATGGGATACTTTCCCATCTGCTCTAAACAACAGTCCAGGTGAAATGGGACCGGCTTCAGTTGCTGTCCACAGGACAATTAACCTCTTCCTGCCCAGGTTCAGCGGGGCACTCGTCCACAACATTACAAGCACAGGTTTCAGAGTGGTTGCCGTGTCAGTCTGTATCATCAAAAACAACAAGGAGTCCTTATGGCACCTTAGAGACTAACAAATTTATTTGGGCATAAGCTTTAGCCCACAAACGCTTAGGCCCAAATAAATTTGTTAATCTCTAAGGAAGGGGTCGGCAACCTTTCAGAAGTGGTGTGCCGAGTCTTCATTCATTCACTCTAATTTAAGGTTTCGCGTGCCAGTAATACATTTTAACGTTTTTAGAAGGTCTCTTTCTATAAGTCTATATTATATAACTAAATTATTGTATGTAAAGTAAACAAGGTTTTCAAAATGTTTAAGAAGCGTAATTTAAAATTAAATTAAAATGCTGATCTTACACCACCAGCCTGCTCAGCTCGCTGCCAGCCTGGGGTTCTGTTCACCTAGGCCGGCAGTGGGCTGAGCAGGGCCTGCGGCCGGGACCCCAGACCTGGAGGGGGGGGTTGTTTCAGGGGTCAGGGCAGAGGGCTGGGGGAGGGGGTTCAGGGCAGAAGGCTGGGGTGTGTGTGGGGGGGATTCAGGGATCAGGGCAGAGGGCTGGGGTGTGTGGGGGTGTATGGCAGAAGGCTGGGTGTGTGAGGGGGTTCAAGGGTCAGGTCAGAGAGCTGGGAGCTGTGGGGGGTGCAGGGCAGAAGGCTGGGTGTGTGTTGGGGTGGGGGGGTTCAGGGCAGAGGGTTGGGGGGTGCAGGGCAGAAGGCTGAGTGTGTGTAGGGGGGTCAGGGCAGAGGGCTGGGGTGCTCGGCTCGTGGGAGTGCTCCCAGCCCCCTGCCCTGAGCGGCTCATGGCAGGGGGCTGGAAGGGATATGCCCTGTTCCACCCTCTTCCCCCAGGCTCCGTCCCTACCTCTCTCTGCGTCCTCTACGGAGCTGTGTGCACGCTGCCGCTCTTCCCCCTCCCCCTTGCTAGGGCCATCAGCTGATTGGCGCAGGGATGGAGAGGAGGAGGGGCAGGAAAGCACCACGCTGGGGGAAGAAGCGGGGAAGGGGAGAAGCTTGGCTGCCGCAGAACCAAGCTTCTGCCTTCTGCCCCCGCAGGGGAGAGCGGTGGGCGGGGGGGCTGAGTGGGCTGGGGGCCAGGACCGCAGCAGGGAGTTGCGTGCCACTCAAAATTGGCTTGCGTGCCGTGTTTGGCACGCGTGCCGTAGGTTGCCGACCCCTGCTCTAAGGTATTACAAGCACACACACTCTTCTACTTAGAGAAATGTATTTGATCAGCATCTGAGGTTCCCAGGAATTCAAACACCAATGTGACAAATCCAGAACCATCAAGGAGTTCAAGATTATGGCTATGCTACAAACCAGGACCACTTGATCCTTCATACAACAGTGGAGGGATAGCTCAGTGGTTTGAGCATTGGCCTGCTAAACCCAGGGTTATAAATTCAATTCTTGATGGGGCCATTTGGGGCAAAATCAGTACTTGGCCCTGCTAGTGAAGGCAGGGGGCTGGACTCGATGACCTTTCAGGGTCCCTTCCGGTTCTATGAGATAGGATATCTCCATAGATTAACTTTCTCCAGAAGCTGTAGCTAAAAGGCAATTAGCAGTAGTTCTCCTTATTGGTGCAAATACACCAAATCTTCTGTGGCAGGAATAGCAGCTAGTAAGTGGGCCTTTTGAAAATCATTATGGCAATATTTTAGGAAGTGTTGGTAGACTTGAGATTTATTCAGGCATGATCCAGGATGCAGGATCCAGCTGGCCCATGCAGAGTAGGCAGGCGCTGTGCCAGAATTGGGCCAGTGGCAAATTACTTGTGATATTATTTTTGCTCTCTGCACAAATATTATCCACGTACATGCATTTAAAGTGGTTGGTATTTTTCTTGGGAGCCTTTTCGCTAATTTATGAGTTTGCCATAATTAATTAACATGATTTTTAACTCACACAGGGTGGCATGGAAAAAGTACTGCAAAGGAAAAGATGTCTCCAAGTGGATCAGAGATTGCAAACTGTAAAGTGTTGGGGTTTATTTATCCCAGCTTGGTTCCCTTGCAAATTAGCAGGGATTCGCATAGAGCAAAATGTTCCTTCGACTTGCTTCCCTTTTACAATTAATCATGTTCAAAATAAAACAAACTCAAGAGAAAGGTTTAGTGCAACTGACTGGTGAAATGCAAATATTTTACTCCTTGCTGGTAAGACTGTGGATCTTTCCACGTGACCAGCTGCAGTAACTTATATTGTGTTCTGCACAGTGTAAAAGATCTTTTATCAGCTCAATTATATATACACATCAAGATAAGTCAAATCTGTTTTTCCTGTGAGATCCTGCTACTATTTTGTTCTGCTAATTATAGTAATATGTCATCTTGCTTGCAAGCTTACATTCGTTACAATCAATAAAATTACTTACTTTGCACATCGTTCTTGTGATTATTGGTTAATGTAGAAGAGAAACTGAATATGAGATTATGAACTTGGGCCCACTGAAATCAATGGAAGTTAGGAGCCTAAATACCTTTGAAGAGCTGGGCCTAGCACTATGAAATAAAGAGTATGAGAGAAGTGCATCATTAGGGAGTCCTAAATATTTTATCTCAGCTATCATAGTTTGTAAACACATGGTGCGGAATTGTCATCTGTTATATATAATTATATTCCAAAACCATGAATTTGGGTTTAAAAAATCTTGTTAGGTTCTTACTCAGATATGCTGATGTCACTCATCACATCATTTACAACAACCCAAGCACTTAAAAGCAAAGAAATGAATAGTTAGTGACACTGGACCTCTTACACTGGTCGCATGACAAACACACACGCTGGTTCCAGTTTAACAAGGTATTGAAACACATGAGTCATCCATGGAAGTTAGGGGAAGAGGAGAGGGACTCCCAGCACTCCTGCAAACCCCAGCTAGCAGATGCTCCCTTGGAGACTGTTACCAGCTGGCAGTGAGCTCTACACTGTGTTGCCAGAATTCTGGTCAGAGTGTTGTGGTGGGACCCCACTGACCACGTGGTGGAACCCTCTGCCACTGTTAGGGCCTTGGGCTGGGACCTGGGCTGGGACCTGGTGGAGTAGGGTGGCCCAGGTCCCCCATCCCCTGCTGCCAACCCTACCCCTGGGGTGACAGCCTCACCACCTTAGGACAAGAGGCCTGCGTTTGTCGGCTGTCTCCCTGAGCCAGGACATCAGGCGCTAGACTGCTTCCTGCTCCGCCCTGCCCAGAGGACCAGAACTCCTAGACTGCTGGCTGCTCTGCCCTGCCTAGAGGATCAGAGCCCCAAGATTGTTGGCTGCTCCGTGCTGCCCAAAGGGCCAGAGCCCCATGACTGCTGGATGAGCCACCCTGTGTGAGGGCCTGAGCCCTGGACTACTTGCTACCTGGCCCCTGCCTAGGTGACCAGGACAATGGAGACTGCTAATCCCCCTTTGAGACAGTCTTTCCAGAAACGCAGGAGCAAGGGGGCCTGCGCTCCCTCCGAGCCTGACAGGGAGGGACAGCCACAACCTCCTACATCTCTGGTGAGAGCAACTGCCAGCTCCCATAGATTTAAATGGGAGTTAGGCGCCTAAATACCTTGCAGGATCTGGCCCTAGGACTCCAAAGTCTTTAGGATAGTAGGTAGAGAAAAAAATGTGAAAATAGGGAAGTTCTTGTGGCTCCAAAAATGGCTTGAAGGATTCCCTCCCCCCTAACCATCAAGGAAAAACCTGGGAGTTATAATGGCATTAGTCACATATATTAATACACACAAGCTTGGCAAACTTCTGCAGTGCTCTGTTAAAATCAAACTGTTAACAGATGAATGAGGAAATTAACAATGTATGTTTTTTTTTTCTTTACAAGGAGTTAGAAATACTAATTTAAGATTTCCCAACAGGGCTTTCTTCATAGTGCTGTTAGCTTCCCTGCTTGTATTTGCACAATTCTCCTGATTAAGATGAAAATCAATACAGTACTGTTCTGGGGTGGGTTTTGTTTTTAATATCTATCAATTGTATGTGTAGTAAGGTACACATCTAGGCCTGGAGGCTAAGAATGAAGCATTTTAGCTGTGTTTGTTATGGAGAAACTGAATCCCATACCACATAACAATCCATCTATGGTATTTAAATGGCTCCCTACACAAAGTGTATGAATACTGCATACCACCTTCATGAGGTAGGGAACAAAAGATACCAAAAGCACACAGATACCAAATGACACAGGAAATCTGTGGCAGAATGGGGAATTGAAACCAGCCTCCCCAAGTCAATGCCCTAACCACTGGGCCAGCCTTACTTTCATAATAATAAAGAACAAACATTAAGGTGTGCAAAGTAGATTCAACTCTGGGCCTACAGGCTAGCACACAGATGTACTCACTAACCTCAATGTGATCTCTTTTCACGTTATTTTACTAGAGTGACAAATATAAATATACACCCCAAGAAGGTTTGTTTCTGAACTCCTGCACTTAGGGCATGGGTGGGCAAACTTTTTGGCCCGAGGGCCACATCTGGATATGGAAATTGTATGGTGGGCCATAAAAACAACACGGAGTCTGGTGACACCTTAAAGACTAACAGATTTATTTGGGCATAAGCTTTCGTGTGTAAAAAACCTCACTTCTTCAGATGCTTATTCAAATGCACAGGACTCCTTGTTGTTTTTGTGGATTCAGACTAACACAACTACCCCCTGATACCTGACACTATGGTGGGCCATGAATACTCACAGGGCTCTGACTGGGGGTGCAGGCTCTGGGGTGGGGCTGGGGATGAGGGGTTGGAGGGGACTCTGGGCTTGGACCAAGGGATTTGGAGGGGGCAGGAGGATCAGGGCTGGGGCATGGGGTTGGGGCACCGGAGGGGTTCAGGGAGGCGGGCTTCAGGTGGCGCTTACTTCAAGCAGTTCCCAGAAACAGCGGCATGTCCTCCCTCCGGCTCCTACGCAGAGGTGTGGCCAAGCGGCTCTGCACGCTGCCCTGTCCGCAGGTGCCGCCTTGTCCAGAGGTGCCACCCCTGTCGCTCCCATTGGCTGTGGTTCCTGGCCAATGGGAGCTGCAGGGGCAGCGCTTGAGGCGGGGGCAGCGTGTGGAGCCCTCTGGCTGCCCCTACGCACAGGGGCGGCCCGTCCATATAGGCGAATTAGGTAGTTGCCTAGGGTGCCAAGTTAAATGGGGCACCAAATTCAAGGGAAAAAATCAAATAAAAAAAAAATGAAAAAGAGGGAAAGAATACAAATAAAATAATGAATATGTCATTATTTCAATTCCCGTGTGTGTATGGGAGGGAATATGAATGATAATTAAATTCTCTACATTTCTGAGAATTTATTCATATGTAAAATGTTTTATTTACTGCAAAAATAAATAATATTTTAGCGATTTTTTTTTCAATTTGCGATGTAGGGTCAAGATGACCCATTCCACAATTTTGATAAGCAATAACTTATAATAGCCACAATGAAACACATCTGTCAGCGGCAAGAGCTGCAATGCTAGTGACACCTAACTCAAATATACATCAAGGTCGCTGTGACAGGTTGGATCACAAAACCCCCCTGGGAGCTGCCACCTGATGTGCCAAGACTACTTCCACCCCTGCTTTCCTGCCCTGGCAGCTTAGGACTTCAGTGCCCTTCCTGGTTTGAGCCAGACCCGCTAGCCTGCTGCAAACCCAGACCCAGGGTCGGGGTGGCAGGTTTGTAGAAATTTTGGTGGTGCCCAGAACCCGCCCCCGCCCAAACTCCGCCCCCCACCTGCCCAAGGCTCTGGGAGGGAGTTTGGGTGGGGGAGGAGGTCTGGAGTGCAGGCCCTAGGCTGGGGCAGGGGATTGGGGTGCAGGGTGCAGGCTCTGGGAGGGAGTTTGGGGATGGGAGGGGTGCAGAGGGAGGGGGTGCAGGGGTGAGGGGTGAGGGCTGTGGGGTGAGGGCTGTGGGGTGTGGCTGCAGATGAGGGGATGTGTGGGAGGGGCTCAGGGCTCGGGCAGAGGGTTGGGGTGCAGGGGGATGAGGGCTCTGGCTGGGACTGGGGATAAGGTGTTTGGGGTGTGGGAGGGGCTCAGGGCTCGGGCAGAGGGTTGGGGTGTGGGGGGTGAGGGCTGTGGCTGGGACTGGGGATAAGGTGTTTGGGGTGCTGGAGGGGCTCGGGCAGAGAGTTGGGGTGTGGGGGATGAGGGCTCTGGCTGGGACTGGGGTTAAGGTCCTGGAGGGGCTCAGGGCTCGGGCAGAGGGTTGAGGGTGTGGTGCGGGGGTGAAAGCTGTGACTGGGGGTGTGGGCTCTGGGGTGGGGCAGGGTTGGGGATGAGTTTGGGGTGCAGGCAGGCTGCTCTGGGACAGGGACCAGAGAGGAGGACTCCCCCCAGCCCTTTCCCTGCCAGCAGCAGCAAGCTCTGGGGGAGGAGCCCCCCTTTCCTGCCCCCCCAGCAGCACACTCACCCCCACCACGGTCACTGCATGTGCTCCTAGGGCCCCTCTCAGGTCCAGGAATCTCCCTCGCCTCCCCCGTGGTGGGTGCCGGGGGGCGCTGCGTGCGCCTCCTCCCCTGCTGTTGCCCCTGACTGTAGCTTCACTGGGGGTGAAGGATGGGGCTGCCTCCTTGCCCAGCATGGGGCAGGAGCGGTGACTGCGGGCGGATGGGGGGGGGCTGTGCTGCTGGAGGGTCCTGCCAGAAAAGGGAAGGGTATGAGGGGGAAGGGCAGGCTCAGAGTCAGTCTGCCCTGGCAGTGGAGATGGGGGGCACTAGGACCCTGCGGCAGCAGTTGCTGCAGGGAGGCAACATGTAGCTGCACGGAAGAGACAGTGTGTCAGTTTTCAGAGTAGCAGCCCTGCTCCCGAGCCCCGGGAAAGCAAGAGGGGGCCGGGGGAGGCATGGGGGGGGCGTACGGGGGCCGGGGAGGACACCCGGCCCTAAATATTTGTGGAGCTGGGCCCCTGGGCTCTGAATATTGCTGGTGCCCGAGCACCACGTGGATATGGAATTCGCTGCCTATGCCCAGGGTCTGAACCAAGTCCCCTAACATCCATAGGCTTAACTGAAAGCAATTTAAGAAGTGTTCCTGCCTTTAACACTCAGATGCCCAACTCCCA